TCTCATCAGGGAAGCAGAACAGGAAGTAGCTCATTGATACGGGATGCTTGGTTGTATTAACCTTCCCTGAAACTGCCTACTTCTTGTCAATGATAGTCACTTGCATCACTTTAGTTCCCGGCTGAAACTTTAGAAGCAAAAAGTGGAATATTCCAAAGTTAATAAGAGAGAGAAATTATTTGAGTGTAGGTGTAAAGTATAATCAGTGTTCTGTATTGATACAAAAGCCAACACCTGATGATTGTAGCTTGCCAATGGGCTGATGAAAAGTGATGCATTGAAATGTAATGCTTATAAATGCTTGTATGGCTTCTACTAACAATTATTTTCATTATGAATGAATCTGCCTATACTTTTGTTTAATTCATCCTTTACCTGTAAAAAACAAAGATACCCACCCACCCACCCACCCAAAAATACCCATCATAAGACCATCAAAAGGAGACCTCTTAATATGTGTTTTGGAACTCTAGTTATGTTATCATAACAAATGCATTATGATTCATTAAATATCAGACCCGTCCAACAACACACAAAAAACAATGGACATAATATTTGTCCCTTATTTATTTGTGGTACGTCAACATTTTAGAATAAATTACAAATAAAACCATATATGTGCAATATATATATATGCCGTTAATAACCGTGCAATATATACCTGGCTGCTAAATCCTAAGAACTGTTACAGGATGTGTATTTTGTAAATTGTGTAACTTTTTATTATAACCTTTTTTTTTATTTAATACTTTTTTATGCATGTAACATATGTAACATTAAGCTGTAACAACGTACATTTCCCCTCTGTGAGACTAATAAAGGTATTCTGATAAACCGATAAGAAATAATAATGTTAATTGCCAATAAACATTGTATTACTCCCAGCCCTGATGCCAACCAATGCCAGTAAAGGAGGAACACAGTTTGATCTCCACCCTCCACAACCACAGCATCATTAGCGTTGATGCAGCTGACATGGAATTGAGTTTCAAATTTGCGAAAATCCTCCAGGACATTAAACTCATCTTTGATGAACGCGCCAATCATTAACACCAAGCATAAACACTGCCAGCAAGCGCTCTCACCATCCGGAAACTCAACACCCTCTCTGCTGCACCCCACTCACCGCTTTGAATCAAAGCCTCAAACTGCCAATACGCGTCTGCTACATCTGCTACTTCACCGCAATCTCAGTAACAAACAGGAACACACTTATCCAAACATACAAACATCTACATGTACTTTCAACCCCACAGATGTAAACACAAATGTGGTTTACATCAAAATCACTCGATATCTGGTAACAATCACAGATCTTGGATGTTTGAGAGACCGCTGGCTCCATGCCTTCTGACAGCATGACTGGAAATTAGCTATCATTTGAAGATTTCTAACAGTATCCCAGATACAATTGTAGATTTTTGGTACCAATAACAAAATGCTAAGTGTTAAATGCCCTCTTAAAAAAAGCTTTCAGTTTAAAATTACAAGTGAAAATGATTAAATATTCCACTGTCAGCTTTTGTTTTTCGGTTGATACCAGATAACGTAATGAGGTTTCCATTTCCAACAAAGCTCTCTAAAAATACTTCCAGGACTTTGAACTTCGTAACGTGGACATGTCTAAACCCATGTTCACATTTCAGCACAACAAAATGAGAAAGAAGCACAGTGTT